TTTTTTTTTTTTTTAATCGCACTGTAATTATACGTTCGAATTAAGCATGCCCTGTGTTATATTATTCTGCCACAGTACTGAATTCAGAATTGACTGCATCAGAGGTACTGGGTTTAGTGTTAAATGTGTAGAAAGTGCTACTTTCAATATTTGCCACTTGATCAATCATAACCATATAAGGGGTACTAACTTCTGCATTAACTATATAAAAGGTACTAGTTTCAGAATTAACCATATAAGAAGTACTGACTTCAGCAATTGTCAGTTAAGCAATCATATTTAGATGTTGCTTCTACTTGCTCAATGTTAAATTTACAGTATTAGTTTATAAAAATGCAATAGTATATGTTACTTCTAAGAATAGTTAAGAACGTTGTCGCATTGTGAAATTAGTTAGGATCCAAATATTAGAAATAAAGTAATGATACAAAGTAAGTTCTGTTAGAAGTTACTTGAAGAAAAGAGTACTATCACGTTATTACAAACTGAGAAATAAATACGCATTTACATGCATATGATCAAAAAGTACTATCAATTACAAACTGAGAAATAAATATACGTTTACATGCATATAATCAAAGAGTACTGTCATGTTATTACAAACTGACATGCATGTGATCTTCAAATTTTATATCTGTATACAACCTGTAACAAATAATTTATATAACAGAATGTAACATTAACATTTATTCTATATATATATTAAATAAAATTAGATATTTAATTGATAATTCGCCTATGAACTAAAGAATAGATGAAATGAAACTTCTGCTATCTAAAACTTTTTTTACTAAGTTAATGATACATGCATACTAATTAAAAGTTGTAGAGCTTGTTGAGACGCATCTAATGGTGATTAGATCATCCAAATCGGCCTAGTGGATGGCAAGATATTATTGAAATATGATTGGCTAACTATATAAAAATCTGTGCCAGAAATTACATATAAAAATCACTATTGGCGAAATGTAGTGTGCCCCTATCTAAAACTTTTTTCTTACTAAGTTAATGATATATGCCCATTAATTGAAAGTTGTAGAGCTCATCGAGATGCATCCAACAGTGGTTAGATCATCCAAATTGGCCTAGTAAATAGCGAGATATTGTCAAAAAATGATTGCCAACTATATAAAATCTCTATGTAAACAAATATTGTTTATATAGTGTAGTACCCCAAAATTTCATCGAATTTTAATATTTTTCTCTTTTCTTTTTTTATATTTTATTATATTATTATTATATTTTTATTAATATTTTATCATATTATCATTATATATTATTATCATTAGTATTACTATTTATTATCGTTTATATTATATATTAGTAATTAATGAGTGAGTATAGGAAACGTTCATATTTGGAAGCTAATATCTCGAAAACTAATGTAAAAACCTGTTACTGCACATTAACAAACCCCTATTTTGGATTATAGAACATTTTTGTCTTAATAAGCTATGTTGATTGTTATAGTAAAATCTTTAGTAATTGGCGATTTTTGATAAACGTTCTAGAACTTACTAATTAGTGTAACAAAATTTAAATTAAATGTAACATGTGATGTACCATGTAACCCTATATGCGTCACATGATGAATAGACGTTAAATTAACATCTACATAGTCCCAAAACATTATAAATAGCCCCCATTTTCTCCCTTCCTCAAAATAACTTTGTATAAGTTCTCACTTTTGATTGCTAATAATAAAATACTATTGTCTTCTTGGAAATTGGCATTTTCCTTGAGTTTTTGTTATTTTTTTTGTCATTTCTTGATATCTTTAGAGTGTATAAGGTTTGGATTCCCAGAGTCTAATAGTGTTCACTGTATTGTTTAAACTAAGTTTAGACTCTTTTAAATCTAATAAGAATATACTCCACTTTATCTGTTTGTTATTATTCTATTATAACTTTATCTTTTAAATATTACTCTTTGCTTTAGTTCTTTAAATCGAACTGCTAGTTATTGCTCCCTTCTGCTAGTCTCCAACTTGAGCTTAGTTATACAAAAATAGCAATAACAATAGAGATTTTATATTGTTAGCCAATCATTTTTTAATAATATTTTGTCATCCACTAGGCTGATTTGGATGATCTAACTATCGTTTGATGTATCTTGATGAGCTTTACAACTTTCAATTAATGGGCATATATCATTAACTTAGTAAGAAAAAAAGTTTTAGTTGGGAGCATACCACATTTTGCCAATAGTGATTTTCATATATAATTTTTATCACAGATTTTTATATAGTTAGCTAATCGTATTTCGATGATATCTCATCATCCACTAGGCTGATTTGGATGATCTAACTACTGTTAGATGAGCTCTACAACTTTCAATTAGTGGACATATATTGTTAACTTAGTATAAAAAAAAGTTTTAGATAGAAGACGTCACATTTTGCCTATCTCCAGTTCATAGGCAGATTATAAATTAAACATTTTTGATTAGAGATTAGATGTCAAATCCAATATTTAACTAGATTTTTGAACACCTGATTTAAATAACAAAAAAATTCTAATTAGCCAAAATGCTATTTTCATTATTCATATATTAAATTTACTATCCTAATTGCTATATTTTTAATATTATCAAATTTATTTTACAATATAAAAATTATTTTGGCTAGAATTATTTTTAATAAAATATTAAAAGCCTAGATTTATATTCAAATAAACTATTTTTAATAATGCTATTATTATTCTACAATTTAACTTTATTCAAAACATTTGTATTAGCTAAGATATATTATAAATTTAATTTTTTTTTTAAAGTGAGATTTTGCCTTTATCTTTATTAATATTTGTATTGAAGATTTGCTATGAGTTCTTCTGACCAGAGCTAATTTACAAAAATTTTACAAGAATAAGACTCAGACTACCAGAAACTATCTAAACTAGAAATTATAATTCATTTGCAACCTAAAATCTACTAGAGTAGTTAAAACTCATCTATATTTGATAATATAGAATATTGTTAGTTAGAGTGCTATATTTTTTTTTATAATTCAGCAGTCCTGCTACTTTTTAATTAAGATTAAACTAATTTAAGAAATTTATATTTCCTAATAATAGCTATACTAATCTAACCAAAAAGCAACTTACTTATGCTTTTGCCAGATATGATTTGCTTCAGTAAACTTCAAGCCTCTTTTCAGGTCTCTAACTTATTAGAGGTTATCCTTTGATCATAGGCTGATGCCACACACCATATCAAAATTAACTTTTCTTTTTACAAAATGAAATACAAACACAAATGCAAAGAGTATAACAAAAAAAAGAGAGGAAATACTACAGCATCAAGTTTTGATCTATCTAAATTAATAAAACTAAATAAAACAAAATAAAAAAAAGAAAAAACAAAAGAGAAGAAAACAAAGATAATACTATTAAATCTATACCAAATTGTAAACATTATATAGTATTACAAATAAACTAAACTAAACTCTATGCTAGTTATTTATATCTATATCCAGGATGTAAAAATATTAAAAACTATCCAGTCTTGAAGTAGAGCTCCAAGGTCAAAACTTTCAGTTGTTATTCCAACTAGATTAGCAGGTCTTCTGCAGTATTTCAAATATTTTTACATTATCTGATACTATTCATCTCAAAGTAGACATATACATGTATATATGCCTTTTCTTTTTTGGTAGCTATTACTATATCGATCTTTTGTTAAGAGTATACTGTTTTTCTTACTTTTTGGAGAAAATTTCAAAAAATGTAAAGAGTGAAGTTTGATAGAGAGTTTCAGTTTGCAGGTATCTTTAAACTTCAGTAAAAAGTGTATTAAAAACTCACTTGTTGTTCTTCTTTAGACCAACTATTATCTAACTTCATCAGCAGAAGCAGTGCTTTTATTAAAATTTTTTGTATAAGAGCACCACCTTCTTGCCAGTTATCTTATACAAAAATGCTTTTAACTTGCATACCAAATATATAGAGGAGTTCAAGATAAAGTGCAAAAGTCTTGACCTCTATAAAAACTGTTATTGTATAGTTGTTTCTTCTATTTTTCTCTAACAAGTTTCTGTTTTTGTTAGCTATAAGTTTGATACAAGTGATCATTATAGAGAGTTGATATCAATTTTTTGGCTAGAGTATTATATTTAATCTATATAATTGTCTATAGAGATATTTTTTTGATTGCTTTTTCAAAAGGTAGACAAATATTGTTATAATAATATTAATTAGGTAGACCACTAAGTTAACTATAAGTATATAGTATTTTGTATTGTATTATATTTCGAGTAGTTGCTATGTATACAATTATTCTACTGTAATTATACAAGTCAAAATAAAAAAAATTGTATACATATACTACACAAATCTGGTATCTAATATGTATAGAGTATGTGTATAATATGTGTAGGATATGTATAATCTTGTATCCAATTTGTGTAGAGTTGATGTAGGATATCATACACATATTGTATACATATCGTACACATATAGTATATATATCGACCTACTATATACTTATACTATACATATCAGGCACCCGATAATAGATTTCCTATACATATCAGGTACCAAATATATATAGGATATGTAACAAATATATATCCTACACATATCTGGTACTGATATATATAAAAAATCATTAAACATAACTAATTTTTTTTTCATTTAATGTCATGGAAAGGTGAATTTTTATTAGGTATTTAGTATTACATTTTTGGTTAACAAGAATACATTTAGCCACATATGCAACTTTTGGTTGCCTATTTAAGTAAACACCCGAAGGTTCTATACTAAATGCCATATCTGCAACCTAACACAGGTCGAAATTTGATAAATCCTACATATATCAGGTAGCAGATATGTAAGAATGACGTAGAATATACTACATGTATACTATACGTACACTACACATATACTACACATGCACTACACATGCATTCAAATTGTAGAATATGTGTAAGATATATGTAGGATATATGTAAGTAGTACGCAGACTTGTGTAGAACAACCTATATGTCATATACCACTATCATATCTAATAGGTGTAGGATAGATGTAGGATATATCAGTTTTGGACCTGTGTAACTATGAGATTACTCATTTAAACTCTCTAATGTCTCCCGTCCTGTAACACTACCCTAATTACACCAATCTATAACCTTGTGCTGCTTTAATGAAGACCACCCAAATCGACATCTGCTAACTACTTGTACCCTAATTCTATAGATAATTCAATAGGATCTACATATCAGGTTGCCCTAAGGAAGGTGTA